CTTCCTTCCTTCCTTCCTTCCTTCCTTCCTTCCTTCCTTCCTTCCTTCCTTCCTTCCTTCCTTCCTTCCTTCCTTCCTTCCTTCCTTCCCACTTAGCTCTTAGACTTATATACCACTTCCCAGTGCTTTCCAGCCCCTCTCTAAGCAGTTTACAGAGTCAGCCTCTTGCCCCCCAACAATCTGGGTCCTCATTTTACCCACCTCAGAAGGATGGAAGGCTGAGTCGATATGGTATTTTTTTTGTTCCCTATTGTATCGTTTTTACTTGTTCCTTTGTTGTTTTTCAGAGTTTCCCAAGCATGTTGAATTATTTTCCCTTTTGGGATATCCATCTATGGAATCCTTCCGAGGCTCTTTCTTTCCTTGTCCACGTCAGCTCTCTTAAAGTCTAAAGCACTCATCTGCTTGAGCAGGGGTTGGACTGGAAGACCTCTAAGGTCCCTTCCGACTCTCTTACCCTCTTATTGTTAGTTTGTCACACTCACGCAGATACACCACCAGCCCGAACACGCCTGTGTAGGGTGTGGAGCCTGATCAAATGACTTTTATTTCCCAGGGATTGGTGACTATATTATACGGTGCACCCAGGCCATTGGGAAGTTTGAATCCCTCGTGCATCAGATCCACAAGAATGCCGAAGACATCAATAATAAACTTCGATTGATTGAATCGGCCAACCTGTTCAAAAGCCCTCCTTCCAAAGGAGACGGCCAACTCCCAGGTCGGTTGGCCAATTCTTTGTTCCTTGTTTTGTTCCTTTCAGTTGAATGGGGAAAACTCCACGGCGTAAATGTGAGCCGTCTTACAAAATGGCACCCTTGTGAACTGCGTGGCCTCCAGTTGAGTTGAACCATGGAGATGAACGAATAGGTAGTTGTAAATTGCGACAGTCATAAAGCAGGTCCTACGGGAGTGGTGCGGTGGCCTAGAGGTGGAGCTCTCGCCTCACAATCAGGAGGCTGTGAGTTCGATCCTAGGTAGAGGCAGATGTTTCTCTCTCGGGGCACAATGAGAATATGATTTGCTGAACAAAACTCGGTACTGGTGACAGGAAGGGCACCTGGCCATTAAAACACTCAGCTCCATTCAGTTGTCCCGACTCCACCCCGATGCAAGGGATTATGGGGTCATTTAAATAAATAAATAAATAAATAAATAAATAAATAAATAAATAAATAA